TATCATTGTTGAAAACTAGAACAAAAGTTTTTTTAAACATTTAATCCCATTTGCACCGATGAATCCACTGTAGGAATAATCGTAATAATCCGCCAAAAGTTCCTTTAACTGATTTTCTAGAAACGCAAATATCTGCAGTGTTACCCCAATTTCCTCATTATCGTAGACTGAAATTAAACACTTTCTTTCTTATGTCTTTTCAAATAACAAAAACGCGTAAGTAACGAAAATTAATTGAAAAATAGAAAACCTCAGATTGCATATGATACTTACAGCCCTAAGATGATCAGCAGCAGTCTGTGACAGCATATTTTTATCACGAGCCTGCGCAATTATGTCCTCCATGCTCGTTAAGTGGTGTTGAAGTCTCCGGCACTTTTGTTGCAACATACGAACTTTATGTTTGTATTTTTGTTTAATTGATCATTTTGTCAAGCTTCTGCATTCATGTTCCATCAGATGTCACAGCTGCTGTTTGCGTTGACATCTATCGGAAACTAGACACAATCTGTTTTCCTATAATTGTTCACAGAGGACACTGCAGTGCCAAACATGTCTGGTACCTCTATATATGCATTTAGATTATTATTCGAAGTCCCTCCTTTTTTACACATTCTGCACACAAATTAGCTCACCCCTTACAGAAATTCCCGCCGAATTTTATGTATGGGGCGGGGCATAAAGTATCTTTTGCGCAGAATATGTAAAAAAGGAGGGACTTCAAATGTTAAAGCAAATGCATATATAGAGGTACCAGACATGTTTTGTAGTGTCAGGTACTCTATTTTGTAATCTGTGAAAGGGAAATCACAAATCGAGTGTCAACAAAATACATGGCATGTTGAGAGATTGAGCTCGTGAGAGAAAATTTCTCTCTCAAATTTGAATTTTTTTGGCTCTCTGGGGACTGGTAGTAAAGCAGGTTAAATTGTATGGGGAAAAATCATTTTTATTTAATTGTAGCTTGTTTAGCATTAATTTCCGGGAAAAAACTGAACGAGAAAGCCCCTGACTAATTTCTTTAGGTTGTCGTTCACTTTTTTTGACCTGAATATGCACCGAAAGCGAATTATTCCAACTTCTCTCAATTTTTATATGGAGATTTTTATCACTTCCTACCAGCGGAACAGCGCCATCTCTGTGGAAAATGGTCGAACAAAATGATTAATTCGGTTAACGCGGACCACCGCTGTTGCCTCAGATCGTGATTTTAATGTCGATACGTTTGGTTTCTCGATATTATCTATTCTTACAACTCTTGACCTTGAGGGAAAAAATACATGAGAATATGATGAACCCACTTGCAATAAACATATGAATAAACTTGAAAAACCCTGGTATATGTGTAATATTATTACTGCCATACACCGTTCATACATTATCCCAAAAATCTATAACAAATAAAAATCTTACTTCTTAGGAACTGGAACATAGTGGTTTGAATCATGGTCGTCAAGCAGAAACTCGAGATGTTCGCTGTAAATGACCTTACATTATTATCATTATTATAATATCTACAACTACAGCTAGTTAAGTAACAATTTACGTTTCGCAAGGATGAGTTTTTGTAAACACCGATGGTACTGTTCCTTTTTTCAAACATAGTTTTGATCCAATCACGTGAAATTGATCAGACATAAAATGTTTTCCACATATTCTCTGGTTATCCACCGATTGTATTTCTTGGCCTGTGAAAATCCTGATTGACGTTACCCACTGCTGCAATTCCGTTTCGGAGGATGGAAAACTACCGAAATATGCAAATGTTAAGTTAGGATGAGCATTCAATCAACACTTCGTGAATTTACTTTGTTTACATTGTTTACACTTACCGATGACTGGAGACTCCTCCTTGCAATACTGGTGTAGTAATGCAGCTATCACATCCAATTATAATGCACTTCATTTTTAGGCAATGATAATTCCTGTTAAACACAGAACACAGCACCTATGGCACAACAAAGATGAAAAAAAAAACTTCCCGCCGCTCGCGACAAACTTTCCTAACAGCGCATTACGCATGAACAGAGCTTGCTTGCGAATATTTGCAGCAGCTGTCAAATGTTGACGTAAAATCGAACCAGAGAACCAGGATTTTTCGGCTTCACACAAAGTATATGGGAATGACATTTGCGTCATAGATGTGCAAATACCGGTCTAGCGAACATGCTACGTCGCTGTCAGGTAAACGTTAGAATTGAATTGGAGGAATGTATACAAAAAAAAATCGTTCATTAGTGTGAAAAAAATCTGGATTGCGTTTAGCAAAATTAGCTCATATTTCAGTTGAAAAAATAATCATAACTAGTTTTAAGGTATCTAAAAGTGCATTTAATCGTATCAGAAAGTGTTTTCAATTGGATATACGGTAAATTTGATCATGCAACTAGTAGAAATAATGAACTGAAAACAACATCTTATATCTAGGTTGGCAAGCACTAGTACACAAAACTAAATCTAATATTCTACAATTTCCTAGATCTAGTGACTAGAATTGTGGATAAAAGTCCAGACTAGTATCGTAAGTATCCTAAACCTAAATTGGAATTTATATGAAAATCTAATTATCCATGATTGAACTCAGATTAGTGAAGAAACGTTTTGAGATCGATAAATCACCGCAAATCGCTCGTAGCAAGAGGTATAGAGAAGAAACTATCTTTTGTAAGTAGAGTTTAAATTTGTACATCGTAAAACACTAATTTGAATAATAAATTTGCAGTTTGAGCTGCGTCAATCAGCTGCTACAAAACAGTGGTGTAATTCTTGAAAGTTTTCCGAACATTCTCAAAAAAAGATAATCGGATTAGGATAACCTCAAATATGAGTGTTAATCTCACTACGACAGCCTGCGCTGCCTGTTCGACGAGTTCCGAAGCAGATGGTTCCACTACCGGTGTGTAGGTGTACAGGAGGAAAACATCCACGATCAGGAGAAGTGGTTCTGCCCGACGAAGCAATGCCAGAGGGTGGAGGAAGAGCAGGTAAATCTGTTGGGAGATCCCAAGAAGAAAGGGAAATCTTCCAAAAAGACGCTCGTAACGGACGAAAACTCGGACTTGTCCAGTGTCAAGTCCGACCTGCAGTCCGGTTCCCGGCTCGAGAAAAAGCTAAAAGAGCTAGAGAGGGAGCAAAGAGCGAAGGAGAAGGAAATGGAGATAGAACGTCTGCTATGGAAGAAGAGGATGGAAATGGATCGGAAGCTGAAGGAGAAAAGGCTCCAAATGGAGAACGAGATGCGAATGCAGGAAAGGGAGCAGGAAAAAACAGCTGCTTGAAAAGGCCCTCAAGGACGAACAAGCGCATTTGGATAAAACGGAACGGATGCGAGAAAAGTACCAGGCAAAAATGGCAGGCGTGAAGGAGAAGTTGAATGCTTCCGTAAAAGAACGGAAAAAGGATGAAAAGGAAGTGGATCTTCAGGAAGGAAGCTCGAAAGATCAAAACCAAGCGCAGGAGAAGAACAAGAGCGGAGCGAAGCTGAATAAAGGTACCGGAAGTGGAAAATTAGAAGAAAAGGAAGTTTCGGAAGATAAATATAGCGAAGAAGATAGCGAACACAATAGCGAGGAGGAGGAGGAGTTTTTCGGAGACGAGCCAGCCAACGGCTGAAAGTCTCCTTAATAAAGATATAAAAAAAAGATAGCTAGGAGGAGGAAACTGATTCCGGAGAGGAAGAATGGGATGAGGAAGATGAAAACGAAGAAGCCGAAGAAACGTCCGACGAGTCTGAGGCGGAGTCGGAAGAAGAAGTGAAACCGGAAAAGAAATCGAAGAAGAAGAAGCAAGACAAAAAAAAGGTGGTGCCACACGGGCTGGGGCGGCAATCCACTGGACCAACGAAGACGCAATTGGCTGCGCGAAATGGGATCTCTAGAAAATTTCCCATATTCACGGGGAAACCGGAGGAATGGCCTCTTTTCATAGGGAGTTACGAAGCGTCGAACGAAGAGTGTGGATACAACGATATCGAGAATCTTGTTCGTCTACAGGAGAGTCTCAAAGGACCAGCATTGGAGAGCGTTCGGGGACAGTTGTTGCTACCGAAATCCGTACCGAAGGTGATCTTCAAGCTGCGTCAACTCTACGGTCGTCCGGAACAGCTGTTACATTACCACCTGGAGAAGGTGAAGCAGTTGGATCCTCCGAAAGCCGAGAAGTTGGGGACGTTCATTCCTTTCGGAAACGCGGTAGAGCAACTGTGTGACCACCTTGAAGCGGCGGATCTGAAAGAGCATCTCGTCAATCCGTTGCTGGTACAGAATCTGGTAGACAAAATTCCTTGCTCCGATAAGCGTGAATGGGTACGCTTCAAAAACAAGAAGAAGAAGGTCACTTTGCGGACGTTTTCCGATTTTCTGTCGAGAATCGTATCGGAGGCCTGTGAAGCAAATGCCTGCGTCGAGGTGAAAGAAGTCAAGGACGTTCACTTCGTAAAAGCTGGTAAAGGAGGTGTGAAGGAAAAAGGAGCGGTGTATAACCACAGTGGGACCGGAAGTTCGATGGACAGCTTTCCAGTTAGCACCCCAGAATCCAGAAGTCTAAAGCCTTGCAAAGCGTGCTATCGCACAGATCATCGGCTGCGGTTTTGTCAAGATTTCAAGGCGATGTCATTTGCGGATCGCATGAAGGTTGTTGGCAAGGGTAAGCTGTGCCAAATCTGCCTGAACGACCATGGAAACGCACCGTGTCGGTTCAAGATTCGATGCAACGTTGCCGAGTGTCAGGAACGTCATCATCCTCTACTGCATCCTCTAGCATCGTCAGTTGTGATGAACACACACATTCATCTGCAAGAGACGATCCTCTTCCGGATGATTCCAGTCTCGCTACACTGCGGGAATCGAACAGTGAAGACGTTAGCTTTTCTGGACGAAGGAGCTTCAATCACGTTGGTGGAGCGATCGTTGACTGACCGACTAGGGGCAAAATGAGCTCTCCATCCCCTCACGATCAAACGGACCGCTGATGTTACTCGAGTTGAAAAAGACTCAACGAAGATGAACCTTTGGATATCCGCCTCCGGAAGCGAAGAAAAGCTGATTTTGAGTTGCGTACAGACCGTGGAACAACTTCTGCCGAGACAGTCACTGGACGGTGCTGAGATTTCTACTGCTTACCATTTCCTCCGCGATCTACCGATTTCTTCGTACCCTAGCCAAAGACCCGGTATGCTCATCGGTTTGAACAACCTTCACACCATCGCACCAATGGAAGCTAAAGTCGGAGAGCAAGGAGAGCCAATCGCAGTACGGTGCAAACTCGGCTGGTCAATTTACGGTCCTATGGGAGGACAATCGAAACGTCGGCAGAACTTCATAGGGTATCATCACGAAATCTCGAATGAAGACCTGCACAACCTGCTGAAGGAGCACTACGCGGTGGAAGAATCGGTAGTTGCTGTATCACAGGAGTCGAAGGATGAGAAACGAGCTCGGGAGATCCTAGACCGAACAACGGTGCGCGTTGGCGATCGCTTCGAAACCGGAATGCTGTGGAAAACCGACAATCCAAAGTTTCCGGACAGCCACCCCATGGCAATGTGCAGATTAAGGCAGTTGGAGCAATGGCTGCAGAGGACACCGGAGCTATACGAGAACGTGAGAAAGCAGATCGGTGAATACCAGCAGAAGGGCTACGCACATCTGGCGACGCCGGAAGAATTGGCTACGTTCGATCCCCAGGAGTCCTGGTTCCTTCCCATCAACGTAGTGCTAAATCCGAAGAAGCCTGCGAAGGTACGACTGGTGTGGGACGCAGCAGCAATGGTGAACGGTGTCTCCCTGAATTCCCAGTTGCTCACAGGTCCAGACATGCTCACTCCACTTCCGGGTGTTCTAAATCGTTTTCGAGAACGACCCATCGGCTACGGCGGAGATATTCGCGAAATGTACCACCAGCTACTGATGCGAGCGGCAGATAAGAAGGTACAGATGTTCGTGTTCCGGAACTCACCAAACGAGTCTCCAAGCATATATATAATGGACGTCGCAACGTTCGGATCGAAATGCTCACCGTGTCAAGCGCAGTACGTGAAGAACAAAAATGCCATCGAGTTTTCCATGGAATTTCCAGAAGCAGCAGCGGCGATAATAGAAAAGCATTACGTCGATGACTACTTCGACAGCGTCGATACGGTCGAAGAAGCAATCAACAGAACGAAAGAAGTTAGATACGTTCATTCGAAAGGAGGTTTCGAGATTATGAACTAGGTGTCGAACTCTTGAGTGTTTCTCGAGGAACTGGGAGAGGTCAAGAAGGAACAGTCGGTGCATTTCAACCGGGACAAGGAAAGCGGAATCGAGCGAGTTCTTGGTATTATCTGGAATTCTAGGCAGGACGAGTTTTCGTTTTCAACGGAGCATCGGCAAGACGTGAGACCGTATCTGATGGATGGTGAGCGTCCTACGAAGAGGATAGTTCTGAGCTGTGTAATGGGATTCTTCGACCCATTAGGCTTGCTCACACCGTTTACGATCCACGGGAAAATGGTGGTGCAAGATCTGTGGCGCACGGGTTGCGAATGGGACGACGCAGTAGATGACAAGAGCTTCGAAAAGTGGGAACGCTGGACGGGTCTGTTGCCGAAGGTGGAAGACATACGCATACCTCGCTGTTACTTCAAAGACGTCCGCTCATCTTCAATCAACTCTCTGGAACTGCATGTCTTCACGGATGCAAGCATTCACGCATACGGTTGTGCAGCCTACTTCATAGCAGTAATCGACGGAAACGTGAAGTGTTCGCTGGTGATGTCACGATCAAAGGTAGCTCCACTAAAACTACAATCGGTTCCACGTCTCGAACTGATGACTGCTGTTCTCGGGGCCAGGATGCTGCATACGGTAAGATCCAATCATTCTTTTCCCATTACTAGAACCGTTCTGTGGAGTGATTCTCAAACGGTTCTAAGTTGGATCCGGTCGGATCAACATAAAATTACAAGCAATTCGTTGCTTTTCGAATCGGCGAAATACTGGAGCTGACTTCCACAAACGATTGGAGGTACGTTCCGTCCGATATGAACATCGCCGACGTCGTAACGAAGTGGGGACAAGGACCGCCACTAGAATCAGATGGTCCATGGTTCAACGGACCGCAGTTTCTGTACGAATTGGAGTCAGAGTGGCCTGAGCAGAAGAAAACGGTGTTCGACGTCCCGGAAGAGATGAAAGCGTGCGTGTTATTCCACGAAGCGTCGAATTCCAGTCCTTTGATTGAACGTCCACGTAACGTCACGTTGGTCAAGGCTGATACGTATCGCAGCCAGCGTTGTTCGATTCATTGCCAATTGTCGGAGAAAAATAGCTAGAAAGCCAATCCTAGCGTCGATAGCTGGACGCTACTTGGAGCCGGAATCCATCCGGTGGCCGCTTCTTCAAGAAGAGCTTCAAGCAGGAGAAAGGATTCTTGTGAGACAAGCCCAGCAGGACAGCTTTCCGGAGGAGGTGAAGATTCTGCAAATCAGCTGTGAACGCAACGCAAGTCAATCACCAGTACTCGTTGACAAGTCGAGCTGGCTCTACAAGCTGAGTCCGATCATAGATGCTGACGGAATCGTTCGAATGGGAGGAAGATTGGCGCTGTCGGAAGTAGTTCCTTTCGACAAGAAATTCCCGATAATCCTTCCCAAGCGACACCAGATCACAAGTATGATTATACAACACTTCCATGAAAAGTATGGTCATGCCAACCGGGAAACAGTATTTAACGAGCTTCGACAACGCTTCTACATCCCAAAGCTTCAATCAACTATATCAATAGCCGTGAAAGACTGCATGTGGTGTCGAGTCAACCGATATCAGCCACAAGTTCCGGTGATGGCGCCGCTACCAGTTCAACGGGTAACGCCACAGTTACGCCCCTTCAGCTCGGTCGGAGTTGATTACCTGGGTCCTGTAGAAGTGTTAGTCTGACGTCGAAGAGAAAAGAGATGGGTGGCTCTGTTCACTTGTCTTGCGGTACGAGCCATTCACCTCGAGGTGGTGCATAGCTTGACCACGCAAGCTTGTCTGATGGCGATAAGGAGATTCATCTGCAAGCGAGGGTCACCGGACGAATTCTTTTCGGACAACGGATGCAAGCAACGAGATGTCCAAAGCAAAGCAGAAGATCAGTGCGGAATGCGCTGAAAGCGTCTCAAGTCCGGCAATCAAGTGGCACTTCATCCCTCCCGGAACACCTCACATGGGCGGAAGCTGGGAAAGAATGGTGCGATCAGTGAAGGAGGCGATGAGGGCATTGGATGACGGCTGGAAGCTGATGGATGAAATACTCCTGACCACATTGTCCGAGGCGGAAGACATGGTAAATTCTCGTCCGTTGACTTATCTACCACAAGATTCAGAAGAGACTGAAGCTATTACACCAAATCATTTTTTGCGCGGGGTTACCAAGGATGCGGATCAGATGGTCGATGATGAAGTCGAGCTGGCAGAAGCACTGAGGGACGTCTATAAGCGGTCGCAGCACTTGGCCGATAAGATGTGGCAGAGGTGGAGTAAGGAAGGAGAGCACATCCCAATCTGTGTCGAGTACTTTACCTGTGCCGAAAGCTAGGTCAAGCGTTGTGCTGAACGTGCCGAAGTGTGGCAATCAAGCTATCAGTCTCAGTAACCCATGAGTTATGACTTTTGAGATTGTGTGTTTACATTTTCAAGTCAAGGACGGTAAAAAGTCGTGATAATATTCAACGAGCTGGTCGCCGGACATCCGATTCAAGGAAGTGGCACTCGAAGATTAGCTCCTCCGCGAGAAGGAGAAGGGTGACCGATGGCAGAAGCTGTACATCCTGGAGAAGACAGTTCTCTGCCGTGCGTTATTCTGGCAGACGTTTGCCAAAACCAAGAACCCAACCGGTAAGTGGAACATGAATCTTGTCTGCAATATCGTCATGCTACTCGGGCAATGCTACAATCTGCAAAATAGGAAGGACTCGACTTAAAATGCCCACCGGCGGTAATAGTAGCAGCAATAGTCCTGCAGTAGCTTCCCAGTGTCAGCAGTCGTGGTTAGGTACTCAATTCGTCTAAATCAAACTACTTCGTCCATGGTTTATCCAAACGTCGGTCCAGAATCTCGATACTGGTTGCAGTGGTTTGATGATTACCTCCTCCTTGTATCTGCCTGTTGTTCCATCATATTTTTTTTATCCTTGGTCATGTTGGAGTCGCATATTAATCTCTCTGAAATTGCTGCCGGTTCCGATTGCGTTCATTATGACCGTGATTCAGATTGGCTCTGTTACCTCCGGTGATACCTTCACAATTCTGTTAGCAGCATCTTTTTTTATGTTGCTGTGCTGTTGCCATCGGTGATACGAACAGTTGCGAAAGAGCGTAAAGAGACCTCCACAGTTAATCGAATCCGAGTTCAGTCCATAGAATGAGCTGTACGGCTGACTGATTGGTGAACCATCAATCGTACTGGGGTGTTCTGCGGGAGAAACAGCTGCGATTGCAGATACATCTGAAGAATGGTAGGATCGTTCGGCACCGGGGTGTTGTTGACACCGTACATTATCGCAGCAATGCTCCTTACCCATACAATTGACTCTCGGTCCGGATCCTATGGCCATCGAGTTAATACTTAATTCTGGCTCGGTGACTGGCTCGTTTGTTTAGACTTCCCTGAACCTGTGGACTGTCTGCAAAGGTTCATACCCCAGAAGGCATAAGGACAAAGAGAGTCTCGTCAATTATACAATCTTTAATTATGATTGGGGACAATTTCGCTGGAAAATGGCACTAACAAAAAAATCCTTTCCCCCTTACTTTGAAGTAAACGAGGAAGTAAACCTTAGTAACGATTGGCAAAATGTCAATACAAAACAGTGATGCCATTTTATAGTATATTTTGTGTCATACTTGATTTTCTTCGTCCTACGGATAAACGTGGAAAAAGGGGATTCGCTTGGAGCGTTCCTTTTTTTTTGAGAACAATGAGCGTAAATATGCGCCTACTCTACCTCGGATGAACTTTATTCTTATTTTCTCAAAATGTCTTGACTTCTGTTTGCATCTGCAAATGCAAAATTCCCAGGCTAAGCCTTCAATGTAACATACTAAGGCGCGGAAAATTTTTCATTCATAAATGTCGCCGTACTTTGGCAACCAAATGTGCTGGTAGTTAGTCACAAATGCCACACAGGCTCTTACGCGTGTTCCATGTGACGTAATGCAACAGCCCACTAAAAGATGTCCCATCAAAACGCCTTAAATCTTTGATATGGGCTTCCTGTTGCGTCCCATGCCACACCACATGTATAGACATTGGGTAGGTTTTCATAAGTACCAGAGAAGCTCATCAAAGTGCGCCTTGAAATGCGCATCATAAGCACATACTAATCTTCATGGCCTACTCGCAAAGGGCATTTGACCTGTGAACCTCCCTCAACTGTCGTTGGTTGCGTCTCTGTGGTACCCGAGAGATGCGAGATCTTAAAAGCTGATGATGCGTTCATATGTGACGCGAGGACCGCCATCGCCTTGTGTGTAAATGGTGTTTTGTTGCACCATGCGCCCATTTGCTGGTGCTGCGGTCGAATCATAAAATTAACCAGGCGCATAAATGTCACCTAGATGTTTGTACAGTCTTTTGTGAAGGATCATTACTTAGGTTTGAGCAACTCGACGATATATTTGCGATTGAGGAGACAGATAATGGTTGTTTGGAGTGCCAAAATTTACACCCAATTAGCGAAGAGAACACTCAGTTCACCCATTAGGCTTATCAGCTCGTTGATCTCGATTGATGCTTCGTCGTCAATCGTAAATTGACCTCAAATCGAAGTGATTTGCCATCAATACTGCCATTCACACGTCCAAACCTGATGGTAACTTAAACCGTCATTATTATTCCCATTTCAATGCTTCTAATTGCGGAACACCCATCAAAAAAGTAGGCTTGACTGCATTTGCATGGTTGGTTGTTTACATCAGAGCCAAATCGCAAACAATCACACACACACCTCCATCTTCTTCTTCTTCTTTTTCTTCTTCATTTGCATGACCCCAACGTCACACCGTAGTTCGACCTATGTCATTCATCGGGACTTGTATCGTAACCTTTTTCGCAGAAGGCACTTTAAGGTGTGGAGCTGCTTTCCCATTACGTAAGTAAACCCACATTTTAAATGCGTTTTACAACACTCATCTTCGCTGACTGCAATCCAATCGCAAATGAGGATCTAATGTCATCCGTTGTTGACGGCGTTGTGGTCATCGCGCTACACCCGACCCGGACCCGATCAGTGCAAATAATAATAACTTCATTAGACATCTTTTAATTTCCTTCTCTCGTAGGCATGTTGGTACTCCGGTTGCATAATGTGTGTTCACATTTATTCGCTACACGATCCCGCATCACGGATCGGACAATAACAACAACAAAGTTATGCGCACGACGAAGAAGCGCGGCCCTAACTATGATCGGTTGCAGGAACATCATTGACCATCACCATCGTGAATGTTTAAAGAGCAGAAGAAGCGAAAAGAAGCATAATTCAAACTGGGCATAATTTCCAACGCATTCCAAAAAAACAACCAAAATCACGCGTCATCTTCGAAAATTTAAACTCCCATACGAAAGAGGTTAGAGAGGTAATAAACCATACTTGGCTTGACAGTATCGTAGCAGACACGTTTTCTCGATGGTGGATGAATGTAATGGCGGACGAAGATTGCCCTGCGATCGTCCACCCACTGATGCTACACACACATGTCATGGCAACCAGTCAGGGATGAAACTAAACGTGAGTTCCGGTGAATTATTGAAACTTTGTACGTTTTGTTAGATTTCCGGCGAATAATGCAAAAGCTCGACAAATAACAACGAACTTCGCCAACATATGGGAAATGGCTCTAATGTTGGCCTTTGGATCTAAGATTGGGCCCATCGCTCAAAATCTGCTGTTTATCAATTTTATCTAGATGAACGCGTCATTAAGACGGTACTAATGGATATTTTTTGTCGTTATTGAAAATTTAGTCGATTGCTGAATTTACGTATGGGTCCAAATTAGGGGCATTTATGCCGACATTACATCCATTTCCCCTATATAGCAATGTTGTTTGAGTATCTGGGAGTCCTTGATGATGATGGATCGTGTCTGCTATTCAACATCGCGCTAGAAGCTGTGATCAGAAGAGCTGGGATAGACACGAGGGGCACGATCTTCAGGAAATCCATCCAGCTTCTTGGCTTCGCCGATGACATCGACATCATGACACGGAACTTTGAGACGATGGCGAAAATATACATCAGACTGAAGGCTGAAGCTAGACCCATTAGACTTGCCATCAACGCATCGAAGGCGAAATACATGAGTGGACGAGATTCTAGGGAAGACAATGTTGGCCTCGCACCCCGAATTCAGATTGATGGTGACGAAATCGAGATGGTCGACAGGCAGGGACTCCAAAGGACGCTCTGGTCGAATAAAATTCGTCGCCGCATGCCTCTGACTATCTACAAGACGCTGATTCGACCGGTGGTCCGCTATGGCAACGAGACCTGAACAGAAGTTGTTGCGAACCATCTACCGTGAATTGCAGATGGATGACGAATCGTGGAGGAGGCGAATGTACCACGAATTGCACCAGCTGCTGGGAGAACCATCCATCGTTGACACTGCAAAAATTGGACGACTACGGTCAGTTGGGCAGGTCGTAAGTGAAAATGGTTCTCGAAAGCGACAAGCGACAAGCAGAAGGCGACCTGCGGCGGACCCTTTGCAGACTACGAGGCTGACGACGTGTGACCATGGATCGAGTAAAGTGGAGACGAGTGTCAATATTTCAATGCGGCGTAATTGCTTTTGTAAACAATGGCTTAAGCCGTCGATTTCTCGCGAATAAAAGCTCACTCGTGAAAATTAATGACACCAACAGGTATAGGAATGTCTCCTCTACCAGCT